GGACGACTACTGGTAACATGACTAATGCACGAGAGTATCACGCAGCATCTGTATTATTAAATGGAAAAGTATTAGTTACTGGTGGAGCTGATAACAGCGGCGCTTTAAATAGTGTTGAACTGTATGATCCATCAACAGGTACTTGGACAACTATGAGTAATATGACTAATGCAAGATTTTTTCACACATCATCTGTATTATCGAATGGAAATGTATTAATTACTGGTGGATTAGGCAATGGTTATTTAGATAGTGCTGAGCTGTATGATCCATTAACAAGTACTTGGACAACTACGAGTAACATGGTTAATACACGAGGTTTACACACAGCATCTGTATTATCAAATGGATTAATATTAGCTACTGGTGGATACAATGGTTTTAGTGCTTTAAGTAGCGCAGAACTATATTGATTATTTCAAACAAATTAACTTTCAATTATCTTATTCTTTTTCTTAAAAGTAATTCAAATTCCTAATAAAACTTTAGTTAGAAGATTCTCATTTTATGACATCTGCGAACTGTTTCCTTCTATATTTTTACTGGATTATCACACACTTTAATATCTGATCCAAAATAAAAATAAACATCTTTGTTCTTTCATTCTTATACGTTAATTTATTAGATTTGATAACAGTCACGACTGATACGGTAACTTTAATTATTCTTTCATATATTCTCTTAGTTTGACACAGTATCGTTTTTCACAATATTTAATTGTTTTGATAGTATTCATCGAATTTACATTACACGATCATTGAAACAGTTCAGTTACAAAAAAACATTAAGGTAAGTTCATGAATGACATAGATGAATATATCTGTAAATAACAACAATAGATAATGTAAAAGACAGTCTATAATCATATCAGATATACGAACTAATGAGGATGTTGATGAAGTAAACAAAATACTAATATCCAGCTTACCTTATTTGTACATGAATATGTATTTTAACAAAAAAGAATAGAAAATAAGATAGTTCATATATAATGTCTTTATGATTAGTAATTATCTCATAGCTAGTCTTGCATTTATTGGTTTAAGCCACTCTAAAAAAAACCAAATTAATTAGTGCAAAATATCAAGGTAAAACTGTACACAGATCTAACTTTTCATCGTCATTTTCATGTATTTTACAGAGCATGAAACTATTGAATTTTCACTTAAAATCATATTCTGCACCTTTCATTTATAATATTTACTGAATTCGGTTCATGCTAATGAAGACATCTCTCGGGATGTTATCGTGACTATCTCATTCATGACGTATTGATATGAATTTTTTGAAAGATATTTTTTATATTCTGCTTTTTTTGTTAGGTGTAATAAAACTTTTTGAATAGATCGTTTCATTTCATTATCAACTACGTAGTTTAAAGAAAGAAATAATAGTTTTTGTAGTAGATTTGGTAAAAAATATTGTTTTATTTGTAATATAATTTGAGTGGGTATGGGTGTAAGTGTGTATCTTTTCTCATTTCACCCACACTCAACAAGACAATTAATTTGAATTGGAACTAAAAACTTGAAACTATAGCATTATACACATAATCATTTGATAGATAACATAGTTATTGTCTTATATAATCTTGATGATTACTTTTCTTTTTCTTAATTTAATTATGTTATTTAGAAAAAAACATAGAGCAAGATAGTGACATAATCTATCATGATTTGTATCATGGATTCATATAAATGATTTAATTATGTTTCTTATTTTCAATCAGAATATCTGAGTTGTTTATAGTTACCATTTACGATAAATAAAAATGACAGTAAGACCGCGAAGTTTATCTAATACCCCCAACCATCCTATAGATATTAATTAATAAATGGTTACTACATAAAGTTGTTGTTATCAATACATTTCGGATATAACAATTTTAAAATTATTTCTTTATTTATCAATAAGCAAAACACACTTAGAGAGAAAAATAGTACATGATGAAATAATTCAGTTTAATCAAAAAAAAATCTATATTAATGTATTTATTCAGTCTGAGCAGCAATTTGCTTCTCAATAAACTCGACAAATGCGTTATATACTTCTTCTTTGGATTTAGTTCGATCATAAGAGAATGAACCAGCTGCTGATTTACCATTGAGTTCAAAGGTAGTTATGTTGTTGGTCGAAAGTCTTTTTGTCGACGCAGCATTTCGTCGACACAGTATACAGGAAAGATAATCATAATATAATGTTTTTTGTTTTTATAGAAAAAAATCGTGTAATGTCAATACTAGCGAGATAGTTTATTAAGACAAACTAATCAATAAATAGAACAGAACAAGAACAACAACATACAGAAATAAGAACCATATATTTTGATTATTATTTCTTCTTTGCAACCAAAAGCGAAAGACCTTCAAGATAATCAATGAGTGTAATTCCCTTTTTTTATATCGATGAGCTAATGTTTCCAAACATACAAAGATAATTAAAGATATGTGAACTTTTGCCTTGCTTGTGAGAAAATAAGAACAATATAATTATCTTTCGACGAAATGTTCTGTCGACGAAGTGCACGTCGACGAAAGTGTTTGTCGACCAAAAACATAGCATTCTAAAAGAATTATAGTTGCACATTTAGTTGATGTTGAATGTAAAATATTTTATCTTTCAAAAGAAAAAAACTATGAAACACGTGTTTCATTCTTTGTTTAAATTACATTCTCATCTACATCTATCCTCATCATCGTTGTATATGCAAAGATATTCGATCACTGTTTAAACATATAAATTTTTATCATGCTTTATTATAATTCAAATAAATTAAGTAAAACAAAGAGTTGAAAGAAAGTCATTAATACAATATACGTATTCTTAATGACTTATTTAATACAATATACGTACAATTGAAACTATACAGAACCAAAGCGAGAGAATTGAAAAATGAATTAACAATTAAGCAGAGAGACGGTGATTATACATTTTTAATTACTGATAAAAGGCGAAGTAAGAAAAAAGAAAGAGTTGATAATATAATGGATTGCTCTCAACAAAGCTTATTCGTTTGGAAGCTGTGCTGGTTATTTGTCTGACTACAGTAGTAGTCATTTGACTCGATGCATGATTCGTCATTGTCTGTGCTGCAAAGAAAAGTAAAATTTTATTCCGTTTTTAAATAACCAATAATTCCTGAAAATTTAAGAAATGAAATTACTTTGTATTGAAGATTGCACAATAGCAGTTGTATAACTTTGAACTGTGGTTATAGCTGTAAAATAAATAAAATAAAAAAGAGACGATAAACTATTGTTTTTATTCAATTAAATCAATAAAAACATATAAATACGTTGTTATTATTAACTTAGCAAAAAATAGATATTTCGAGATTAATTCTTGCAGCATTTTCTAGACTGAAAAGATCTGTGTCCTACTAGAAATAATATCACAAGAAGAAACTTACGGCAAGAGTTAGACTGAAGATAAAATGTTTGAATCCTGCCGTTGATATCATCGCTCACGAACATATTGCCATATGTATCGAATGCCATGTAACGAGGATAGTATAATGTGTCTACTGTTGATCCATTATGACCTGAACACCCAGCCACACATCGAAATCCAGCAGAACTCGATGCAACAATACGATAATTGCCAGTATCCATGATAAATAGATATCCGTTTCTATCAAGCACAATACCATTTGGATTATTGAGTGTAATGGTTCCCGATGCCGTAGCTCCTGCTATCGTTATACCATTCAACTCACCGAACCGAAATCGTTGAATTCTATCATTATTAGAATCTGCTACATACAAAGTGAAGTCTGTATCAACATAGATTCCAAAAGGAGAATTAAGCAACAATGATGTCGATCCACTTGAACCATTTCCAGCGATCATCACTTGTGTGCTTGAAACACTGGTGAGATCAACTTTCAATACTTTGTTTAAGTTAGCTAAGGAACAGTATAATGTGTTATTCGTGTCAATAAAGAGACCATAACATGATGCACTAATATTCATTACTCGTGTTCCGTTCGTAGCATTTAATATCCACTTATCGACTTGACCATTAGACGCGCCATTGTCAATATAAATATCACCATTCATTGCAACAAATAAACTGTATGGCCCAGACAGGCCACCTTGAATAGTTCTTGTGGCAGTTGAACTACCATTGGGCCATACTTTAACGAAACTGTTGGACCCGCTACCTGCGTAGAGAGTATTGTATGTATCGATAAAGATCCCATGAGTGTGGGAGCCAAATGTACTTTGATTTGCAAAAGTAGTCGCGTCTGGATTCCACGATGCACATGGACTAAACATAGGTCGATTATACCATAGACCTACAAACATAATAGAAATATTATTAACTAATCAAATATGTTTGAATATTTTACAAGAATTACAACTCACCTGGAAAACTACTGGTGGTTTCTTGTATGACAGCAGTAGTCAATTGTATATCATCAATTGGTAATGAAATAAAGTAAACCGAACTATTCGAATTACTCACTAACGACAATTCACTTGTTACAACAGGTTTGGAGAATATTTCACATGTTTTATTATTTCGAAAACAGTTAAAAGAAGAAATCGGTGTTACATTCATCAGCATCAGACAAATACATTGATCACAAGTGCTACTGATAATTGTTGTCGAATTAAAATGTGAAATATGCATAGAAACATTATGGATCACTGGAATATTTCTTGAACTGCCAGAAACTATTTCCATATATTGAAAGAAAAAAGTACCAAAAAAAGTAATCCGCATGTTGCTATTAGAATAATGGAAGAAATATAATAAAGTACTAGCTATATATTGTTCGTTAATTTATAGTAATATGTACGATAATTAACAATGTATAATTAACTATTTGCTTTCTTCGGCTGCTACTTTATTTGACGCTAGTGATAGAACATAAAGATCGAAGAAAGAAAAAACAACTTATTTGTTTTTTATTCTCTTCATCGATCGTTATATATCTGATTAGTATTTTGACAATATTCTAATATAAAGATAATATTGTTTCTGTACTGTCGGAAAGAAACAAAAATATACTATTGTCAAGTGAAAGAATTTGTTCACAAAAACTAATTATTTAATCAAGTTTACATTATATATAAACCGTGGTTGAAACTGCTAAAACTTCATTCTGAAAGGTTTGATTGAATAATGCAAAAAAATATTTGCTCTCGTCTAAGAGGTAGTGCACTTAGTGATTCTGAGCGATACCTCGACATGTTTTATTTCATAGTTTTATGTTGGGTGTGAGTGTATAACTGCTCTGTAACATTTCTCACACCCTAGTTATTTCAGCAATAATTTAGTCAAAATGCAATGTAGTTCTTTATTCCTTTTAATTATTTGTATAGTCCATTTCAGAGTTAAATGACTATGACTATTTTTCGAATAACTTTTGACAGGAAAAATATGAAAATCTACGGATTTTATCACTGACAAAAGATAATAGAGAAGCATTGAACCACGTATAAAAATATTTTGTTAACTTCTTTTCCGAAGATCATATACAAAGCTTTTAGAAAAACGGTATGTCCCTCCTGCTCGTGATATTAATTGGTTGATTGCTGAGGAGTGCGTTATTGAGAGTGTGGGTGAACAAGAAGATTATCCACATTCACAATCACCCTTTGATATACTTCCAACAAAGATATAACATTATTCTTAGTATCTAGAAACAAATTCGAGAATTTTTTGTCATGTATTTCTAACTGAATAATTATTTCATTTACAAATGTTGAAAGTGACGAACCTCCTCTCTGATATCTTGCATCATTTTTCAGAACTTATATTTGATTTATTTTCAAACTAATTCGATATTATTATCGAAGTTATATTCGAATACTCAATGAAAATTAGTTCGCATAGAAAATTCTTTTCAAGTAGATAATTGCATCATCCTGTAGAAAGATAGTTTTGTCTCGACAAAAACGATTGAGATTAATTGATTAATATGAGTCAAAAATAAATAGCACTGAGAAAGTGAGAAGTATTCTTCTTATTATGATTGAAAAAATAATTTTCTTGTCATCATTATTTATATAAGAAAATGCGTGTAGTTGATTTTAGTCAACTATAATATTATTAATTGAATATTGTTACTCTGCTTTATCATAATGGTACAGTTAATTAAATATTGTCATAGTTAATATATGTAGACACATCCGTGAAATACAGTATCATTTTCTCAGGTCTGAAATGTATTTGATGTCATGTATAGTTTTATTATTAATGTGTGCACTTTCTATGAAGTAGATGCAGAATGATATTAGTAACATTCTATGAAGACATTAGCATACATAGAAAATGAGGGTGAGTATAGAGTAATGTTATACGTTTTGCAAAACCATATTCATATTTATATTCATGGTAAAATATATTTTAAAAGGAAATAAATTCGATTGAATATATTTATTAGTATTATTCTAATGCCTGAATATTAATGTTGAAGCATTTATCAAAAAAAATAGCATTCTAATCAGTAAGTCAATAGTTTTCTTCACGAAATTTATATTTCTTGAAAATGATTCACTATTATCATCTATTTACAACTTTAATTCATGTTTAAGTATAAAATAGTTTTTCAATTATTGAAATAAAATAAAAAACGTTTTTTTTATTATTATTTTACTTGATTAAAAACATAAATTGTTACATTTATTTCAAAAAATAAATTCTAAACTATAAAAAAATAAAATAATATACTTAATCAATATCACGATATTGAAATCCATGAGTTGGTCGGTGCATTTGATAATCGAAACCAGTTGGTGGTGTCATTTGAACAATTTCTTTTAAAACACATTCAATAAATTCTGTTGTTGTTGCTGTACCACCAATATCCGGAGTTTTTAATTTATGTTTTTCAATTGTAGTTAAAACAGCATTTTTTATTGCTGAACAATGTTCTTTCAATCTAAAAGAAAAGAAATTAGAAATAAAACTTAATCGAATTTATTTTACCCTAAATATTTCAACATGTTTGCAGCAGCAAACAGCATTCCAGATGGATTTGCAATATTTTTTCCTGCAATACCCATTCCTGTATTTCTTGTTCCTTGTTCAAATATTGCGTAATGATCTCCATAATTTGAACCTGCAACAAAACCTGAACCACCAACAAGACCTGCACATACATTTGCTACAATATTTCCATATAAATTTGGCATAACCATAACATCAAATTGTGTTGGACGATTTACTAACTGCATACATGTATTGTCTACAATCATTGTATCAAATTTAATGTCAGGATATTCCGCAGCTACTTCACGACAACATTCAATAAATAAACCATCACTTAATTTCCTATTTAATCAGAAAAAACATACAATAAACATGTTTATATCATTTGTTTTTTCTCACATAATATTTGCTTTATGAACAGCAGTTACTTTTTTCCTTCCATCATGTTTAGCAACTTCAAAAGCAAAACGTGCAATTTTAAGTGATTTTGCTCGTGTTATTACTAAATAAAAAAAATAATATGTTTTTAGAATGTATATTTTTAGTTTTATACTTTTAAGACTTTCAACAACACCGGGAACAGACTAAAAAGGAAATTCTAAATATTGAATTATATTTTGAGAGAAAAACAATGATTTACTTCATGTTCAAGTGAACTATATTCTCCTTCTGTATTTTCACGAATAACAATAATATCTATATCGGAATGACGTGTAGGGACAACAGGATTTGTTTTACAACGAATGACATTAGCATAAAGATTTAGACGAGTCCTAAGAAAACAAATTTTTTTTTTATTTTAAAATTATAATTTAACATTTTATTACCGAAGAAGAACGTTGAGTGATCGTGTTGTATTTTGTGATGAAATATTACCTAAGATATATTTTGTAATATTTTATTTAGCAAAATTAAATACGAAATACCTTTGAGAGCTATCCCATTACGTTTAACTGCTGTTACTGCACGTTCAAACATTTCATCATTTGCTACATTACTCGATAGTGGAATGTCTTCGAAATCGATTGGTGCACGTACACATCTATTTTTATTATATTAATAAATAAATATAAAAATGAAATATATCTAACCTAATAGCAGCTTTGACATGTTGCATAAGTTCAGGGCCTACACCATCGCCATGAATTAATGTTACTGTATATTTACCACCATAAGCTGTTCGCCAATTTGTCGATAACTAGAAAGTTTAAATAGTTTAAATTTGAATAGAACTAAATAACTAACATTAGTAGTTATTGATCGATGATTTGAGAGAATTATGGAAAATGCACGGCGATTATTAATCTTTAGTACAGATTGCATGTTTTTGTTTTTGACTAAAAAAATAATTTATTATTGTCTCATATTGACTCAAAAGAGAACGAGACGTCAATCGCCTATACACCATTATTACTTTATCCTGTTATCTCGATAGGTTACAAACATTATACCAGTTTAAAACTATCCATATAGATGGCACCAGTATACATCGAGAATTTATTTAAAATAAATGTTTTCTGTTTAAGAGAAAAACATTAGAAAGACTGAAACTATTATATATTAGTTGTATATAAAAGAACTAAGTACCATCGCCTAAGAAGTAGTAAGTGATGCTTGATATAGCTAATTGAAGATGTGTGTTATTATTATATATATCTCAAACTAATACACCCACATCCGCATAATAAATTCACTTCAATACCATGTTCAGTCATACAATATCGACTATATTTAATACAAAAGCATGGTTAGTAGCATTAGTTCATTGGTATATTAAATAGAAAGATCAGGTATGTGCTGTAAAGGAAAAAGTGGCAGGAGTTTGATAACCTTCTTTTTTGCAATAAACATACAACTTTAGCTGGGAAAAACTAAAAAATTTCTAAAAGTGGGGACGGTGTGCAACCTTCTCTCCACAACCTTGATAAACATATGATGAAATAGAATGTATTTTTAGTCTACTGATAACACTTGTGGTACACGTTTGTTCGTATCAAATTTGATAAGATACGACGGATTATGGTCGAGTTACTCTACTTTTTGTCATTTGATCGAGTGTAGAACCAAAATCAATCTAACGATTAGAAGAATTTTCAAGCCAGGCATGATGAATGAGAATTCTCGATAGTGGACCAATTGAAAATAAAAATAGTCGATTTCTATATCGCTTCGCTGCGTCAACAATATTCCCAATTGCTTACTCTCTAAACTTATCATTTTCCCACAACAAAGGTTTACTATTTTCACCTGACCCACACCCATACCTACACCATCAAGAAAATCAAATTAACAAAAACTAATCATATATCTTACTTA